TAGTGAAACCACTTATGATTTATAAATAATAATAATTAAAAAAACACAGAAGAAGTGATACCATTTTGTGGATGTACTGGTGACAATAAAATGTGCCTTGGTTTCCAATACAAATAATGTCACTAGATACAGGAGTGAAGACAGGCTAGTTAGTGGGAATGCAAATTTATTAACACCTTCCAAGGTAAAAGCATAACTTGAGGGAGCTAATACATTGAAGCTGGGGAACTGCAAAAATGTCTACACCAAAACGTTAGAGCTGTCCCAAAAAATTGCAATGAGCATTTTAATAAAATGAAATGAAACGTGCTATCATATGATTAGAGAGAAAAAAGAAATACAGTAGTTAACATTTTTTTCTTCTTTCAGTGTTATCAGGCTCAGTGATCTGAATTCAATTGTATTAAAAAAGAAAACAGAACAAAAATGCAATAAGCGTTAGCAGATTTAGGACATGCTGGACTAATCCAATACCTAAAAAATGAATCAGTCATTTCCTTGAAAAAAAAGGAAACTCAAACAAGATGCAGTCTGGACTCATTAAATCATCTCAGGTTAAATGAATGTGATAAGAGGGTAATCTTAAAATGAGAAAGAAACTTTCTGTAAGAATACAGTATGATGTTGCAAGCGTGGAACTATTGGACTAGAAAAGAACTACTAGTTCCTCCAAAAATTGTATCGAATTTTTTTTTTTTTTTAAAACAATGCTGCCAGAAAAGAATAGGTAGATTTAGATGAGACAAAAGTGGAAAGCACTGCAACAAAAGGGGAACAGAGTATCACACACACAAGTGATGGGTCTTGAAAAATGGCTTACTAGAAACCACATGAAATAAAATCACATGAAATGCAAGATTCCTGCACGCAGGGACCGATACAAGCTTCTTTCATGTAGTCAGGGCTTGTTATTTGGGAGTACAGTCATTCTGTGATCAACTATAAACTGATGCAGCTCTGTAGGGGAGGGGAGCAGGGGGAAGGGAAAAAAGAGGCAAATGCACATCAAGGATTTCTTTGCAATAGAGATGGGGAACATGAACATTTTTGCACATGAGCAACAACTTGTCTGGAATACCACACACAATTCTGAATTCCTGTTTTCAAGAAAAAGAAGTTGTAATTACAAGAACTACAGAAAGAAGCTACTAATATGACCAAAGAGCCTGTTGTATAAAAGAAAAACTAGTCTTGCTTACTCGGCTTAGCAAAATAAAACTCCAATGAAGATAAATATAACAATTCATTAAAAGGATAAACATCAAAGAGGGAAAAGTATGCCAACATTATTTCTCAGTTTAAGTCCAACAAATGAACATAAACTAAAAAAAAAGAAGAATAAAATTTATACTGCTATTCCAGAAACCAAGTTTGGTTCCAAATATAGAACAAAACTAACATTCTATTGCCAAAAGTAAAAGATGCAGAAAGCCTACCTGCTTGTAAGAAAAAGACATCATACGTTCCATTATATGATGCATTCAACATGTAAGCAAGGGATACAGTTGAGTTTCATTCATATTCTGATATAACAATGTGTCATTTGCGGAAAAAAAAAATCTAAGAAGATAATTGTGAATACGATTAGGAGTACAGATTTACTCCTCACAAAATATGGACAGCAGAGTCGATGCAACAAAAGAGGAGAGAAGGAAAGAAAAACAAGAAAGCTGGGAAACCTGAAAAACCTAAAAAAGCAATAATAACCTGTTAGCGTCTATTGGTTCCTCTTCTGGATCAAGAAGTGTTCAATGTGTCATGACACTTTATGAAAATTAGAACACACTGCAGCTCAAAATTATTGTTTTGTGAAAAGCATCTTCTTCCCAACAACTACACTCAAGTCATCTGAGACAGTATTAACATGCTCTCGCACAAGCCACAGCCTATTTTTTCAGTCAACTATCTTACTGGTTCATAAGTTTACGGAAAAATAAGTGAAGAAACAGCTGAAGAAATACAGTGAAAAATTGGCACAGAAAACATGCAATACTTGATTTATTTATTTTTGATAGAAATCTTGATTTGTTATTTAACATCCCTCAAAACCAGAAAAAAAATGCACATAGAAAAGAAATTAGATAGATGAAGGACGTAGGAATCCCTGCCACACACAAGTTATCGCTTGTGCATATAGTAAAAGGAGTGTGGAGGTAAATTTTCTGCACAAAAATACGTGTTTTTTTAAACTGACAACTGTGTGCCCTTAAGTATTAAATAATAGGTTAGAAACAGGAAAGTCAAGTGACCTGGTATGTTCTCTTACCAGAAATTATTTTCTTACAGTGTAATTTTCAATACACTATTTATTGCAAAACATGTCACTATATTTTCCTTCTGTATAATGAAAACAATATAAATGACAACATTTGCCAAGACAACATGAAGAAAGAGACTCGGTGAGATCTCTGAAGATGCCTGGTAACTACCTATACTTTAATTACCTTTCCACATTTTATGGCTGCCCCTGTCTGACTTCACCAAGACCACACCAATGCAGCAGTACGGAAGAGAACAACCCAAGTTTTCTGAACACTCAAACATTTGCCTTTTTTATTATATATTTCTGACCTGACTATTTTAGACTCCTGCAAAGAACTGCTAATTTTTGTTGAAGTACATTCGCGATTCCATTTCCCCTTCAAGAAACTTACGCGGCATTACCAATTAGGTAGCTCAGCTCCCTGCCTTTAGTCTCAAAAAAAGCACGTGTATTAGGCATTATTATTCTCCTGCTTTGCCTCCTTAAAAAAAAAAAAGAGCAAAACCTGCATTCATTAAGAGAAAGATTACATAAAAAGGATATGCCACTTTTTAATCAATGAGGGAGAATACAATACGACTAAACCCAGCGTATTTAGCACAGAAACCTTCCAACCGGTCTAAAAAGGAAGCTCTTGCTGCAGAAAACAAAATTCTCGTTAGGTATTAGAAAATGGAAAATTTTGACAAGTTGCTAGAATATTTACACCTACGAGGCAGAATATAGCAAATTATCATAAAACATGGTAGTTAGCCACACAAAGCAAGTGTTCTTGTTAGCATACTTAAACATCTTACCCTCCTCCTTACAACTCTAAGAAGAAATACTATGGTATAGTGAGTTTAGTTTGACCTCTTTCCTGCTTCTCTTGAGCACCAAATGCAAGAAAAAAAAACCAAACCCAAAAACCAAAGCGCGACCATGAACCTCCCACCTCACTCCCAAAGCTGCGCACTCACTTCCCAAGCTCCCCAGAATTTCCAGAATATCGTTTCCTTGTATATCTTGTATGTCGATGAGACTGGAACAGACTTGAAGGACATACGCTAATTTAGCTGAACACATGCAACCCCTGTACGGATTCCAGAACCCATTGCTTTATTCTGGTTAGCACAAGAAAATTAAATCTATGCAAACATTTCAAGCACTCAGATTCTTTGATCCCACAGAAAACTCTTTAAAAACTCAGGTTCTGGTCTAAGGAAACTCAAATGGCTTCCACCTCATTAGCTGCGCAAGGCACACACTGCTTTTGTATGCTTCAGCTGGTGACATTTCTGTATTCTACGCTATCAATTTTTGGAAAATGTGGGGCAAATAACACAAAAGCCTTCACAATTCCTAGGTTAGTTTAGAAGCCAAACGTGACATTTTCTGGGTGTCATTTGTATATTAGTAAGAGTTCATCAGTAAATACTGTTGTGTGTTGAAACAGCAGCCTCCTACTGTTTAATCCTAAATTCTAGTCCTATTCTTGATCCTATACACTAACTTGTTTAAAAAATACTGCTCTTCAGTTTAGTATTCACTGTTCAGTACACAACAAAAAATAATTAATGCAAATAAGGATTGAAGCATATTTAGAAAAAACATGAAGGAAAACTGGTACGGCGTGATTTCCAAATCAGCTGATTCACTATTCCATACTCACAGGCACTAAAATTCAAACATTCAGGGGCAAACTGAAGTGTGACAGGAAGGTATACTACAGGCGAACGCTAGTTAAGATAAACTAGCATTTATCTAATTTACCATTAAGATGAGGTAGGATATTGTGCATGGAGTATCAAAGATCTCACGTAAGAGATGTTCTTTTTCTATCTAAGGAAACTTTCCTTTTCAGTAATTCCCAAGAAAGTTTAAAAAAAAAAAAGGGCATATGGATGTTACTGTTTTCTTCCTAACGTACCATAAAAGCCCTGTAGTGTACACCTCTTGCCATTAGGGGAAAAAAAGCTGCTAGCATATTGCAAAATTTTATAGGGCACGGATTTCTGCCCTCTTGTTACAAGCATTCATCAAAAACTACAAACTACCCCATAATGAAGATAATTAAATTCTGAACCTTTCTAGGTGCAAGAGAACTTGTCAAAATACATAAAAATTCCTTTATTTGAATCTGACAAAACCCATACAAGAAACCCTAAAGTTTTGTCATAAAAGTAACATACACTGAGAATTGCAAAAACACAGTAAAACATCTGAAGCTAAGTATACTTTTGAAAGATATTCATTTGTCCCCCCACAAAGCATAAGGGACAGAAGCACGAACACAAAGTATCAGAAAAAGTAATATGAGGGTGGGAGATAGAAGACGGTACCTCAGGGAATCAACTGGATCTCCTCACTGTACCAATATTAAGTCTTCACATTAAGACTACATGAAACTACCTAAATCTGTTCATCACCCGTTCTAGTACAAAAAAAGAACTCTCAAATAGCTTTTCTTTGATAGAACAAGAAAAAAATTAAATGCTGAAGTATTGGAAGTTTCTAAAGATTATCTTAAAGCTCCCAATGTTAATGGTAAATGTTAGTGAAAATTTTATTGACATAACTTAAACACATTACAAGGCTGACCTCAAGGTAGAAGGTGTGCGCTACATGCGTAAAGATGGTAGCCAATGTATTACAGAAAAACTAATTAACACTTATTCTCCTTCTAAGTAACTCTTCGGTTAATAAACATTATTTCTCTGCCGACAATATTTTTCGTCCTTAGTATAGCAAAAGGAGGAAACTGGAGCACAGAAGGCATTATTCAGAAATAAGGGTACAAAGTGGTTCTTAGCCTAAAGGTCTCTCACTTGACTATCTATGTTTTTCTGGCTTGCTTCCAAATTGAACTTTTGCAAGTGATCTTCAGCAAACCCAAGTAAACAAATGGCCTATGACTGTTTAAGTCTCCCTACAGTACAAGGCTTAACTCACAGTTTACAGTATTAAACATCTTTAATAAAGTTCCTGCACATGGCATATTACACATTGCAAGATTAAACTGGCTCTCAAAGTTAACTGCTTAACATCCCTTTTCCTTTTCACACGTGTATTTGAAGACATCAATGCTCGGGTTCCCTGGTATTAAAGCAGAATCTCCCTCCGAGGAACACATGGTACTCAAAAGCTTATTTTTCTTACTACATGTAACTGTATCACCCTTTTCCGTCAACCTTGCTTTGCTTACATTCGTCGACCATTACAGCTAACGCACTTTAACCAGCGCTTCTCACCTTGGTATAACAACCCCTGGGGGTGCATCCTAAATTCTTTCGGTCTTAGTTTTTCCCCTCTCTCTAGGGCCTGGCGTGGGAAGAGGGTGGACGTCATTTGTGGCGGAAAAAGTTTAAGAGCGATATTTAATTAAAACACCGTTCCGGAAAGCCCCTTTCCCGGCGGCGCCTGGATTTCGAGGAGACGGCTTCACTCCCGCACGCAGCGGAGAGAAACGCGCCCTTCGCCACCGACCCGGCGGGGGAACCCCGACCTGGCACCGC